TGGCTGCTGCCCAGTTCCCGTCGATGCCGTCTCTTGTGTCGCCTTGTTCTTCCGAACTCTCTTGGGACGCTTCGGCGGGAGCGCTGCTACAATTCCTCCATCACTCGAGGATGCTGTTGCAGCGTGGAAATCATCTGTTTCTTCCGAAATCACGGCATTGTTATGTGTCGGACGTTGATAGCCCGGCTTGGCCACATAATGCGGCTGGGATTGTTTCTCGTTAGCGGCCTTGTCGTCCGTTTGGATGACCAGGTTTGCGCGATCCAGGATAGCCTGGAACGAGGTATAGTCGTACTCGTTACCGAGTGCCGACCGCAATCCTGCGCACGATCGCGAGAAGAACTCGGATCGTTGATTAGGAAAAGTCAAATCGAAGCCTGGCGTGGTCACTATCTTCTACCACTTGGTTGTCCAGTCTCGAGTTGGCATACTTCCTTGAGAGCAGGTGTACACCTCGTTCATGGCCACCTTCACGACGTTGCGGACCATGAACCGGGTGAACCATAGCTTCTCGAAATCCTTCCACGTGATGTGCGTGTGTAGTTCAGCGATGGTGCATGTGTGGGTAGCCGCCAGATGGTTCATCCATGCCTGCGCTCCTCCAATCAGCTGTAAGTATAACGCCTTCATCAGATAGTCGTCCGTCTTGTTGTGGTCGTCGAACTTGCTGATGTCGAAGTGCGGCATCTTGTAATTCTTCGTGGCGGCGTCTGGTTTCGTCTGCAGCTTGGTGATGTCCGTCTCGATGGCGTCCACCGTGCTACTGATCGTGTCCGGCCCATTGAAGACACCTATGTCGCCGATGAGATTGACGACATGATCGATGCGCCCATTGAGCTGCTTCGTTATGTCTGTCATATCTGGCGTGCAGCATGGCACTGCTTGGGGAGGCCGTGCCTCCAAGGTAGCAATGCGTGCATCCAGCTGTTTCAACTGGTTGTCCGCGACCTTGACAGCTGCTGCAAGTATCTTCACGTTGTGGCTCAGATCATGCTGCAGCTGCAGTGTGGACCGGGAATGCAGCTCCCCCATGGAGCTGTTCCAAATGACAGCGCTCATTGTATGGAGTAGAATATTTGCCAGGTCTTGCCTCTCTTGCTGTACTGTTGTCGGCTCGCTGCTGGGTACCGGGACATAACGCATCCCATTGAGCACCGCTGTCCATTGTGCTTGGTTAGCACTTACAAGTTCAGCGCTGCCGGCGTTGAGCTGATCGATCGCCAAATGATCTGCCTCGGCTTGACGCCGGGTTTGTGCTGCAGCTTCCTCTGCTAGCCGTAGTCTTTCGGCCGCGGCAGCCTCTTGCTGTTCCTTGACCTGGGTGAGTGCGGCTGTATAGTCCTGCATTCTCTGAATGAAGTCCGGGAGGGGCTCATTCGACCCTCGCACCGGGCAGACCGGTAAGGGTTCGGCATTACTAGCTGTCGAACCCTCGGATGATGATCCGCTGTGTGGCATGTTCGCCATCTGAGTACTGGTCTGTGGCGGTTGTGGAACTGGAGGTTGCTGTCGCTGTTGGAGATCGGCGATTCTCTTGCTGCGTCGTGGCTGCTGTTCGGAGGCTGGCCCTGCTGGCATCAGAAACTGTTGCTGAAGACTGTCTCGTCCGAAGGATCGCAGAACAGTGTGAGGGAGAGGGTGGGTACATGGATAGAACAGATCAAGCAATCAACATACAGTCCCGGTCCCAAGGATGGACTAAGACACCTAATCAAACAGAAAAAATAAATGTTCCCGTAAACAATTCAAAATTTTGTAATAAGAAGAATAATAACGAATTATTTAATCAATAATTTAATTAATGATTAATACGAAAGAATAATTCTTAATGATAATCAATAAACAATCTTTGCAATAATGATTTCTTAGCGATAATCAATTAAAACAACCTTTGCAATAATGATAATGAACGAATTTTGAATTGTATTAAGATCAGGTCTCTTTGAGATCAATTTCGGTCCGGGAGTTCACCAGTAATGAGTGAACTATCCGGAAGTT